TATATATATATATATATATATATATATATATATATATATATATATATATATATATATATATAGAGAGAGAGAGAGAGATATATATATATATATATATATATATATATATATATATATATATATATATATATATATATATATATATATATATATATATATAAAGAGAGAGAGAGAGAGAGAGAGAGAGAGAGAGAGAGAGAGAGAGAGAGAGTTCACTGCTTTACGCGTGCTTATTCGATTACGTACGCGCTAGAATACGAATCGTACACTACAAATTGCTTTGTGTAAACGTATAGCTTTACTTTACTGAAGTATGTAATTCATTCAACAAACCAATACTAATTTAACAGTACTAATTAAATTGAGAAGCATTGATGTTTATGAAAATTAACAATACTAATTCAGGTTTTAATAGCACGTTAATGAAGCGTAAGTAAACAAATAAATTCATTTTACAAGTACGTTAAAATATTCGCAACTGATCTTTATGGGCATTTAACAATGGCTCGCACTGCGCGCGAAATGTCCACAGAAATGCCCATGAAACTGATCTTAATTTATGGGCATTTAACAATGGCTCGCGCTGCGCGCGGAATGCCCTAAAGAACAGCTGCTCATATTTTAACTAGTTCTTAAAAACGGTAGTAAACATGATTATAAACGTCGCGAGGAATTTTTTTAAAAATTAAGGACGAAGTAAAAAAGAAACAGCATATGCTGTATTATACTTTGTATTTTGTGCCTTAGGTCTTTGCTTTGTAAGTTAGCAAAGCGTTGCCTCCAACTTTTTTCAATATTAAATAATGTTTACTCCCACGCAATCCACGCAACCCGCGCGAGAATTCCCGCGCCAGTAAATAAGAGAAAACTCAAGACGAACAACACAATATAAAAGATATATTATACAACACGAAATCACAGATGTTCGCACGCGCCGAGCGGGCCTTAATATATTTATATTGTCAACACTGTTCGAATGTCAATCAAAATACGTCACTCTCTGATGTGACGTACTTCCTGTAACTTTAACATATTATTAATACATCATTGTATGTGTGACGTACTGTAACTTTAACATAACAATAACAATGTCAATTGTGGCGCCGTGCTTCTATGAATTATAGAAACACGGGTTGTTTCAGCTTTTTACCAATCAGCGCCCGTGTTTTTAAAAGGCTATTTTATAAATACGTTCCTGTTGTTTCTATTTGAAAACTACTATAAAACTACGTGTTTATCAGCATAGACCTTGCTAACGTATATCTCTGAAATATTTTCCAAGCGAATAGCCCCATGTGCGGTGTGCCAAGACTATTTTTTGCTATGCATTAATTTTGTTTTAAAAAGATGTTGGCCATGTGAGGGCCAACCACTCGACCACTTTTAAAGTATACTACAGTAAAAGACATTTTTATAACGAATAAATTATGCGCCCTCAGATTATCCAAGAATGCTGAGCTCAGTATTGTCTCGTCATCCAAACTGCCCAAACTCACCTTTCACATCATTATGACGTCATGCAGATATTATGCCATCGTGTATGCGCACTATTCCTCCACACTGCAACCTCTTGTACCGCCCTGCACCTCCTCATTTTAAGCTAATGACGATGTTTCCCCTTGCGCCCCTTCAAAAAATCTGGGTCGAACGTCCGATATATTTCTACTTATAATAACTTATCTTTCTATATTTAATTTATATATTTATGTATATTCAGGATTACAGGAGACGGTGTTTGCTTTGGGTACTGAAAGTGGTTCAGCTCTTTTGGGAGTTCTTTTCGGCGCCTTGGGAACACAGACGACATTACTTATCTACTCATTCAATTCGGGAGTCATTCTTGTAATTTTACTTCTGTATACTCGCGTTTCAAAACGTGTTGATGATTATGAAAAACTGGCTGAAGATACTGATGAAGAATGATAAAATTGATGTGTAATGAAGAATATACTGAAATAAATTAACCAACGCCTAGTGCAATAGATGGCAGCACCAGAGTCTGGTTGCCATGGATATTGGTGGCAGATTGGTGCTGCCATTTATGGCACCAGGCGTCGATTACACATATGGATTACAATTAGCAGATATTTTATGGTTTCTGCAAATCGAAATCTCGAGTGTAATTTTTGCCCATCATTTTAGACTTGGGAAATTTTCGAACTTCGTATGTCTCTCACAGGGGTGAAATACGGAAAATACGCGCACCTGGTCCCGGATGTAGTGACGTATGAGTTCTACGAGTGTTTTGTTTCCAGTAAAACACCATTGTCCATATAATAATTAACAATTATTCGCCGAAGTGATTACCGGTGAATATTATATTCGAATTCAAATTGTCTAATGAAAAAACAGCATTTGTACCACGTGATGTGATTTTTTACGGTATTTCACTCAAATTCATGATTTCGCAATGCAGCGTGAGATTCTATATTATAATATAGTCATTCTCCGTATATGAGCTGTTCTGCAATCTGATTGGCTGAATTACTCGCCGTATATCAGCTCATATACGGCGAGTAGCGAAAAACAAGATGGCGGTCCAAAAACTACACGAGTTTTGCGAAGCAGAAAAAAGGAAAATATTCGCTTTGGGAAAGATAATAGTACAAGGAAAAACTTTCAAAAAAATTTGACAGGTTAGCAAAATACATTTATTACATAGAAATCAGTTTAAATACAAGTTTTTTAAAGAATTAATACCGAAACAACAGCGAAAAAAACATGTTCATTGACAATATAAATTGTTCAGAAAAGTTTGCAACGAAAGGAAAATGAATTTGCAGTCAACAAGCACTAATTACTGTACTACCAAACATCTGTATAATATATCTGATCTTTTCTGTGAGATATACCGGTTCTAAAAGCATTTCTTTCACTTCGTCTTCGAGTTGTATTAAAAACAAAAGTATTTCAAATTTTCAAGCCCAAAACGGCAAGAGGTTTTGTCCGAACAAATTGTCAAGACATTGTAATTATTGCTTCAGTTAATGGCTATTAGACTACATTATAAAACAATTATACCATTCGCTCTGCACAAATGGTTTTAGAACTGCACATTTTGTGTAGAACTGCAAGTTAAAATAAACCCTGACTGAGACTGCATATTATAAATACTATATTACAGCAATAATTCTTAAACGTGGAGGGTTCAGAATTACTGATACCCAATGAACGAAATAGCCAAATATGCGAACGTTTATATCTGTGACTGTGACAAAGCAGGGTCAGAATTTCTGAACTTTGTATGACAGTGATTCCGCAATATCTCACTCAAAATGCAAAGCCATAGCATGAAAGGTTCAGAATTTCTGACACCAGGGGTTTTTTTAACGTGCAGTTCTACACAAAATGTGCAGTTCTAAATCAATTTGTGCAACTCTAAAAAAAAATTTGTGCAGTTGAAAAAATACGAACTTTCATGATATGGATATTTGTTCTGGAATCATTAGGTTAAAGTAATAGAATCGAAATATAAATGGAATGAATACAGCTTCAATAACAAAAGCAGTATATGTATCAGAATATTTATTTCAGTTTTCTTATAGCAAATTTAAACTAAAATGTTTTCTTTTTTTCTTTGCTGGTTCCTCTTCACAATCTGCCAACTTCTCTTCGAGTTTCGCAGCTTCCGAGAATATTCCCTTGAAATATTGTTGTTGTTTTCTTTTTGGACAATCTCGGGCGCGATGCGCTATTTCATTCATCCAACTCATCACTGCTGGTTTAGGATCCCACTGATCCAACGACGGCATGTTATAATGCACATACAAATTGAGGTTTTCGGTTTCAAGGAGCATTCGACTACGACCAGAAGACTTCAGTGCCACACTGCAGCTGATCAGACGTTCTACATCTGCGCTATGTGGCTTGGCTGCAAGAATCCTTGCAAATGCAACTTTGAGGTTAGGCAGCTCTTCGGACTGGACAAACCTTTGGAATCGTTCCCTAAGTGATAGCTTTCTGAAATGCTCTATATCTTCCATGCTAAGAACATCATCATATTCCATACCAAGTTCCATTAAGTCTAGATCTTTGAAGAATTGCTTGTGGACCTCCTTCAAATCCACTGACTGTTGTAAATTTACAAATGGCTTTAACAGATCAATGTCATCTTCTTGGTCCAAAAACCTTTGCGTTAAAAATTCTTTCAGAGACTCGATGATTTCATTCTTAATTGCATCAATGTCCCTTGTATCAGTGACGTAAAGATGATGAATGTGTCGACGGCGCCTTGCATTTCAACTGCTTAATTCGACTCCCTTTAAAGAAACGGTGCCATCTTCTTCCTCTGAAACTTGCTCGCTTAGAGCTTCAACCCATCCACCGAGGAGAGCCGTTTCTTTTAATCCTAACACCTTTGCCTTCACATTGGATGTGGATCTGTCCATGTCAATTAGTGTTGAAGAGTCCGATTGTAGTTGTTGCTGGTATCGTGAAAATACAGAAAGCAAATCTGCAATGAAGGTCAGCAGGTCAAGATTGTTTTTTTTGGTTAAAAAAGACAAGAAACCTGCAGCTTCTTTCTCATTACTTTTTTTGAAATAGGTAACAAGAGCACGCCAAGGTCTCAAGACCACTTCTATTAACGACGATGTGAATTCTGTCCAACGAACTTCGAAGACACGAGGTAATGATAACACGCAGCAGCCCTCAGCATTTGCAGCATCAATAAGTTCACGTGTCCGGATGCCAGATGCATGGAAAAATGTGGATATGCTTGAAAGCTGCTGAATTAAATGGCTTACTTCCTGAATTGAATTGGTGACAGATTTCCAGGCCAGCTGCGAACGATGAGCAGCGCACCAAATTTTTATCATCGGTGTTGGTCCTTCATCGCCCAAAGGAAGGTTGAAATCACGATCAATCAAAGCCCAAAGACCATTTTTTTCTCCAGTATTTACTGATGCACCATCAGTAACAAAAGAAGAAGCACGTTGAAACACTTTCTTGCTTTGAGTCAACAAAGCTTCTTCTTCACCTTCGGTATTTTCGCCAAGGGTTGCTGAACATGCCGAAAGCATAGCCTTGTGAACCCCAACTGCTCCTCTTTCTTTTGGCTCTCCCGCGCCGAGAAAGATATTGTTTTCTTTTCCGTCTCTAGATATGGCCTTAGCCATTAAATATATCTTATCTATCTGCGTTCTATCAACCGATCCGTCACATCTTAAGGAGATGGCCAACGAGTTTGACATCTTTGAAGCAAGTGAATTTCTATCTATCTTTACAATGCATTTGAGGAATTCGCTGTGTGCGTTTGGTGAAAGGTATTGGAGATCATTAGGCATGTCGTTTATACTCCAATAATCAAAAGAAAACGCATTTGCTATTCGGCTTACAACCACACGTGAAGGGAAAGAATTGGCAGACAAAGTAAGTCTCTTAGCACCATGGTAAACGTGAAAAAATAAGCTAGCAACTTTCGCAGCCAATTGTGCATCTGCGATCGATAATGCCCTTCCAATTGGTGTCAATGACGTCATATGAAGCTTTTCCGGTCCTTTCAAAGACAACAATCTCTTTGTCTTTTTTGCTTCGCGATGAATTTCGCTGTTCAGATGGTCGGAAACGACGCTTTTACGGTATATAGTCCCCGGTCCTTGAGCAATCGCTGGAAGTTTAGCTTTCCTGCTGAAAATCTTGACGACATTGGGGTTCGAAAAGCATGTCTTACAACGCACATAGTGGCGACCATTCTTGTGTAAGTGTTTCAGATTATCCTCTTTTGGCTCTTTAGTGTTTTTCTCTGATGTCTTTGCAGTTTTACTTGGTCCTTGATCCTCATTATTCATTATTATTAAATGTTAAGTTTATATTCGCGTCGGATGTTTTTTCAATGTTGAAAAAGTTAAAAAGGCGCGAACAATTCTGCGCCTTTGTATTTACGTGTCAGCAGCTTACCACGGGAATCCTGTCTAATCCAATCTAATCACAACCAGCTGTACACATATATCCTATTTATACTTGTAATATCCCATTGATTCCCTCTAAAACAAACATGGCGGTGAAAAGTTGCTCAAGAAAATTAATACAGGATTACAAATCCGAAATATTTAATAAAGCGAACGTAGAATATGTGTATCGGCGTAAAACGAATGGAATTTGAAACAG